ACGTGTTTCGACACGGCATTCAAGGAATTCCTCAAATCCACTCTAAGTGACAAACCGCAAAACATCGCAAAACCTTGTGTCTTGGAAAAACTGGGACCCCACAGCGTTCCTTTCTGTTTTTTGTTTGGCCTGCGGGGTGTGGGTTGGGTGGGGTGCAGGGGGGTGCGGGGGCTGCAGGGGCTCGCGAGGCGTGGGGGCGGCGGCGGCGGGGTGGGGGGCTCGAGACCCAAGTCTTTGCGTACATATGGGCTTCGAAGCAAGATTCAGGCGGAAGCAACAAATTGTATTGACAAGACCTAGATTAGATGTGACGCGATCTGTCATACAAGCATGGTTTTATTCTGTCTTATATTGATATTAAACCAGTATGGTATGTATATTGAGGTAAGTCAAGCTCTTACATCAATAGTAACAGGCAGTTTTGGTTATACTGTAAAATATGTTACAAGTCGGTCTAGCGTTATATAAAGCAGACTCGTATTGCTAGATGATTCTATGAATACTACATCAACAATATGCTGAACTTGGCTAATATGTTAATAGACAACTACTCTCACTTACGGGTCTTATTTCCCATTACGAATGTTAATATTTGTTTCTATTCTGCGATGGTACAGAAGAGTATATTATACCATAAAACACTACAGCATATTGTATACAGCATATGATGTTGTTTTGTATTTGGTTCGACCACAATGTGTTATGTTATATGGGCTATATCATATCATGTTACATTCTGTTCGATTCTATCCTGTTTTATCATGATATATTGAAATGCATACCCTGTGAGTTAACATGCCTTAGTACACTACAGTTTACTACATGAACTAGCACTACATGATATTGGGTTATGTTCTGTTATATTATGAAGTTTATATGATATTGTACGGTTTTGTACACGTTAGTATGCATTTTTACAGGTTCCTCAGTATGGTACGGTACTATAATATGATGGAGAAAGTTCCATATAGTTTAGAGACAATCTGGCATAAAATGGTATGACCAAATATACTACAATATATAATATGGCTCAGTGGTAATTATGATATGAGACTTTTTATCATGGAAACACTTTAACAGAAATATTTCAATCAATAATGTAACATAATACAACATAATATAGTTATCTTATAGTGTATATATACATATATTTTTGTTTGTGTATATGTATATACGCTCTATTGTAATAATCTAATACAACAATGTATTGTAACTTGGTAATACCAAACAAAATAGAATACAACATGATATGGTGTATATAATATAATATGCGGTAAGGCTTTACGGTATAATATACTATTTTGCACCTTTGTACCTTAGGGGGATAGAACCACATATTAGCGTTCTTACTGGAAAATAATACCTGTAAATAAAAGTAGTTGCTTTCTAACATATTAACCAAGTTCTGCATATTGTTGATGTAGTATTCATATCATCATATAGCAATACGAATCTGCTTTATATAACGTTAGACTGACTTGTAACATATTTTCCAGTATAACCAAAACTGGCAGTTACTATTGATGTAGGAGTTTGATTTACCTCAATATACATATCATACTGACTTAATATCAATATAAGATACGCAAAGACTTGCGTCTCGAGCCCCCCACCCCGCCGCCGCCACCCCCACGCCTCGCCAGCCCCTGCAGCCCCCGCACCCCCTGCACCCCACCCAACCCACGCCCCGCAGACCAAAAACAAAAGACACAAACAAAAAGGCCAAAAATAATTACCCCTCCTTATGCCTGACCATTTATATAAAGATGTGCATGTCAAAGCATATCCATCCCTTAGCGGTAGACGTCCCGCCGGTTCTCGAGCAGGTTAGCCTTGGTTCAGCTGCCGCTCTGCTGGTTCCTGACACCATCTGCTGCAGCTCCTGCTGCTGCTGCCGCCCCACCTCGGTAGACGGTAGAACAGAGAAGCAACCAAAGCTTTCGCATGTACTTCGGACATCTGAATGACGCAAATTTGCGCAATGCAAGACATTGTGCCGGACGACCTTAGCGCAACAACTACAACGGAGCTACATTGAACTGCGATGCAGCACGGTGTCCTGAAACCTCGCTCAGCGAGATAGTGGACACTGCACCATCCACGCAGCGAGGCGAGAAAAACAAGAGCTGCAGCTGAGGGCCACGGGTTGTTCTCATGGGTCCTGTTCCCGTGGGTCCATGGGTGCAGATCATATAATATCCTCGGCGGCAGGAACCCTTCCAATCATTTCGGATTGTTGGAAGTTGTTTTGCTTCGGTGGCTCGCAAAGTTTGGATGATGCATCTTGTAATGATGGTTTCGTCAGCTGTAAACTGGCGTGGTCCACCATGATTTCAACTGTTAGCAGCCTCGTCAGGACTCCGGCGGTCTTTTCTTCGCGAATCTTTACAGCGAAGCTGACTTTCGTCAGGTAGGTGTCCTGCGCCGAAGTTGGGCGCAGCGGTCGCAGGCACTGTGCCTCGAAGATGTGCCGCCTTCTTGCTTCGCTGGCTGCAGAGAGTGCCCAGAAGACACACGTCGTACCCAGCCAGACCACACCGTGAGCGCTGTGAGGATCCCTGCATCCTCCCAAGCCCGGGGCCGCTAGCAGAACTTTCCCCGATGCCCGATGCCCTAATGGCTGCACCACGGCCTGGAGCCGGACCGGCGGAGAATCTCCTCAAGGCTCCCGCAGGGTTCGACTCCAACGAAGGCTTTTGCTCGGCCTATGTCTAGCATAGCGCTGTGACTTCAGTGAATCTCCGTGCCACAGCCCGGCCCACCGAACGAAACCCTGCGGAAGCCACCAATTGGTGCCTGACTCACAGGAGCTGCAGCAGGGGCGGAAGATGCAAATGATTGAGGCACTTTGGACGCAGTTCTGTTCGTGCTTGGGATTCTCACATCTTGTCAGCGGGTGTTCCCGACGATCATGATGGTCCCTACAGTAGCACACCCTTGAGCACGGTCTTCAACTCCAGTTGTGGGTGCATTTATCTTTCCATGAAGGTTGAGCGGGGCTGCACCTTGTTTTAGGATTGTTTCCGCGTGGTGGTCCAATACTCATAGATTTCAATTCAGGCCTTCACAAGGGGTTTTGTGGGGAATTTGAGAACTTGTGCGCGAGGGTGATCGTGAGGATCTTCATACCTGGGCAGATGTATGGGGAAGGTCCGGAAGCGACCACTGCCAGTTTCTGTAATTCGGATTCTACCAAAGGCACGAAGGCACCAGACCAACCGCCCGAGAAGCACTCAGATTTCCCAAGCCATCCCATCCGGAGCATGAGGCGCTTCAAGTCAAGCTACTTGAAGATCAGCGCCGGAGTTTACGACATTTTGAACTTGTCCAGGAGATGCCTGAGGGGGTTGTCCGGGGTCATATCATATTGAAGAAGGAAGTCAGCATTCGAACATGGTCCCGGCTGCAATTTCGTGCGTTAAACGGCCGTGAGGGGCATAAAGTTGTAGATCCTTTGCGCAAATCCGTGATCGAACACCCGGGGAAAGCTTGATCGGCTTGATCATTGAACCCAAAGCCTACGACAGAGCCGATGATGTACAAGGTTAGATTCAGTGCATATCACATCTCATTTCAGTGCTTCATGCGATTCGTACTGTGCCCATGTTTGCAAGAAGCGTCGAGACTCCCGGATGAGCAGGATGGGCTCTCCAGAATGCGTGCAGGCGTCGTGTTGCCGCCTGGCTAGCATGAATATGCATGAATCCTGGTTCGGCGTATTGAATCTGTTCTTTCATTCCTGTGTCAGCGAGTTGTTTGGAGTTCTTGGGCACATTTCGAACACAGGAGCCATGGACAGTCTGAATCAGGTCGGGGAGACCCCACACAACCACGGGTGCGTATGCGCACGCATCAGATGTGGACAAACGTGCAACTCGGCAAGAGCAGTATTTTTTGGAAAAGGAATCGAAGAGCGTGCGCTTTTCTGGCGTTCTTGGGGAACAGAGGCCGAAGACATGCGTCGAATGTCCTTTTCGGAGATTCTGCGCCAGGAGGCGGCGGACACGGGAAAGCAGTCCATTTTAATCCAATGATGAGCATGATAAGCATTGTTTTTCCAATAAGGGATATCAGGGAACTCTTTGCTCGTACGATAGTCGAATGTCCTGATGAACGTGCTGGTTCTGCTACTAGTGAAGACACCGTGAGTGAATCAGCGACTCGATGCGATGGATGGACCGCCATCGACGACAACCAGTGAGCCAAAATGTTCTATCGCCCTGAGACGAGAACTGCCGCAGCCACCGCCACACCCCGCCCCCATCCCCACCACCGCCGAATAGTTATATCAGTTGTGATGTTGGAAGAACTCCCAACACAGCAGGTTCTTAGAAGAGTATGTTCAGCGGCCCAACACGGAAACCTAAAACACCGGAGCAGAATCTCAAGCTTTGCCCACAGCCCACACCTACAGTCAGGCTCAGGGCTCAGGGCGGTATTGGGCACGTGCCTGCTCTCTGAGCCAGCAGCCCCAGCAGAGTCAGACCGAGAACCACGGAACGAATCTGAGGAAACATGACGATGCGAGATATGCCAAAACCATTGAAGGGAAATCCGGTTCAGGACATCCGACTCATTGTGATACAGAAAGTTCTCTTACGCTGACCCCTCCCACCACTTCAGGAAACCGAAACTATATTTTCTGATTGTTCGGGTGCTTCAAGCGCAGCAGACACGGGTATTCCCTCAGAGAGGTCCTCAAGTTTGAAAAGCCCGCATGTTCTTTTTGCGTGCCGTCTTATCAGATGATATATATATATATATACATATACATACATGTCCAGGTACATGTATGCATACATACATACATAAATACATGCATGTGGAAAGCCCATTAAAAAAACTAAATCCACGAGTAGCGAGAAACACACTTGCCCTTCCTTTCATGACGTGGATGGTCGCAGCTCCCATATCTGCTGGCCGGCGCCACCGGAC